AGAAGAGAGAGAGAGAGAGAGAGAGTGAAAGAGAGAAAGTATTGGCAATACAACAACAATAGTCCAAACTTCTTTGCCAAGAGATGGATGGAAATGAGATATCACTAGAAAACAACTCATTACATAACACAAGAAAATGTCTAAAGAAGAGCTCCACTAAGTTTGAACTCAAAACCACCATTCATCAGTAGTGAAACTCTCCATTTCTTGAAACGCTGACACTAGGGTATTGAGAAGATTCAGGTATTGAAGAAGATTCAAGCTTCAAGGATGACTGTAAATTCTTACCTGGAGCTCAATGTCCATTATAGTATTTGCCTGTCCTCAACAAAGGAAACCGCGGGGAATACAAAAGGCCAAAAAGAGAAAATACTTTCTAAAAGGGGAAGAGAGAGAAAGAGTAAATTTACATATCTCTCATACCACATAATGGTGTTCTAACGTGAACTTGTTGCTAGGTGTGTAGGGCCATGAACAGGTTCTGCTTTCTCGCGTGCTCGGGAATGAGTCGCTCAAGATTGTCAGGAGGGATGCCAGATAGCTCTGCCAGGAACAAATAAAAACTAGTATAAAAAAATTTGAGAGAAAATTTGAACCACTGTCCAAATCTACAAAAACAGAAACCAGATATTCATTATCTGGAATTTTCAGTAAAAGATAAATGAAGCTTAGTACCTTGGGGTTTGAAATTGAATAGGGGTGGGAGAGGACGACCATTTGGAAGCCGAGTATTGGGGTCTCGCAATTCATCAAAGAAAGGGTGTATGCAAGCCTCCAACTGCAGGAGAGAGAGGTTGTGGCAAGGGCGTATATACTAATGCAATTCATGAATGTAAAAATTCAGGCAGAGAGAGTGTGTGTGAGAGAAAGAGGGAGGGATGGGAGGGTGGTATAACACAAGAACACAAATAATGTTATCAGTGTTTCAAAAAATGCCGGGCAGCCCCTAGGCAGCCGGTGGGGTCTAGGCTGCCCAGTGCCTAGGCGGACACTTGGGGATCTAGGCGGCCTAAATTCAAAAGGGGGCAAGGGGTGTCCAGGATAATGTTTTCGGTCCATATTTTGTATAAAAAATACATAAATAAGAACTGCATAGTCATGCTTTTTTATAATCCACACAAAAAATACCAAACATGCCCCACCTGATGGATATTTTTGCACATAGACAGGCGAAGCCTGGGTGCCTGCCTAGGCAGGTACCTAGGGTCCCTCAGCGGGCACCCAGAGACAGCCCGCCTAGTTGGTCCGCCCAGTGCTCAGGTCCCGCCTAGGCACTAGCTGACCGCTTTTTCAAACTATGAATGTAATTGGTTAATGTATAAATCTAATTTACCGCTGTGCAACGGAGATTAGGGGAGTACTGAAGAAATCTGCAAACTAGATCAACTGCTTCAGGGGGCAAACGTTTTTGGAACACCTGATAAAGCATGGACAAGTTAGATATAAATTACAAGAGGTAATTCCTTTTGGCAGCACCAAATGCATAGGCAACCATATGAAACAGTTCTCTCAGGAATAACAAATGTATGTATTATCTAAAAGAAAAGAAAATACTAAAAATGTGTGCACAAGTGTGTGTGTGTGTGTGTGTGTGTGAGAGAGAGAGAGAGACCAAAGAAAAAGTTCAGGTTGATTTTTTAAGTCCAAAATTTATTTTGGATATCATGATTCCATGAAGAAAATCGCTCCATTTTCATCCAACCCAACATCCCGCCCCTCAAAACCCTTTACTTCTACCACCTTTCCTTGTTGAGGAAATCGCCAAAAATACGCAACCCTTCAGTTGCTTGCAGTATTTGTGCCCTTCAAATGGCAACCCTATCATGAAATATGACACATGCCGACTACAATGATGTGCCCGACACCCATGAAATATAAGGTATCGCAACCCATACAATACAATTATTCAGGGGGTTAGGCATGGTATTCCCAATGGTTGCATTGGAAATACAATGCATTGCAAACCCGTAGAATACAATGATGTCACCTCTTCTTAAAAGACCCATTTGCTAGTGATTGAGTCAGTCAAGAGTGGCATTCCCAAAACATCAGAAATATTTTTTGTATTGCTAACAACCATATTGGAGTCATACCTTGTGCCACGGATGAGCCTTTATTTGTGGGAACTTGAATTCAGTATAGTTTGGGTTCATGCACTTGATTTCCTCCCTAGTTGGGGTTCCCAGAACCTGCTCAGCACATTCAAAATCTGAATAAGAAAGTTGGAACGCCAAAACCTAATACATTTTCACAAGATTACAGGAAACATCACCTTGATGATTTCAACTAGTTGATCAACTCCACTTTCTCCAGGGAAAAGAGGCTGCAATGATCAAAGTAGAAGGGATAAGAAAGTTCTTATTATTCTATCAACAAAAATAAGAAAATGTTATTATTGTAAAGGCAGAAGTTGGATGATGAATTGTATCGTATTGAAATCAGAAGCACATCAGATGAGTGCCAATAAACCTGTCCAAGAAGTAACTCAGCCATCACACAGCCTGTAGACCACATGTCAATTGCTGTTGTGTATTCTGTTGCTCCAAAGATGAGCTCAGGAGCACGGTAATATCTTGAACAAATATAAGATATATTTGGTTCTCCTTTTACCTGGATTGTATAGAAAGCAGTAAACAAAAACGTAAGGTCCATCAGAAATGATGTCCTAAGTACCATGATCAATACAACACTTACCAGAACTTTTGCACTGCCAAAATCACATAATTTTAATTGATGTGTATGAGGGTTCACCTGCAATTAGTACACATAGGATTAGAAAAAAGTAACAGAACCACAGCGTAAACAAAATATTAGGCTCCAAATAAAATTTATAAAAAAAAATTAGGTTTCTATATGGTATCCCAGGGGCTTGGAAATCTCAGATTTTGCTTATTACATGTGTCCAAATTCCACATTTCACGCAAAACCGAACAGAACAGAAAAAATCGATCAGTTTCAACTCAAAGAGCACTCCTAACATTTAACATCTATTTTAACTTTGTAGTACATCAGCATCTAAGAAAAGAGAACGTAAAACATCCGCCCATGAACTTGCAAAGAGATTTTTCTAAGTTATGATAAAGGTATCTATCAGGCCATAGCTCAATATTCTGTGTGTAAAAGGGAATATGACGATGATCACCCTACAAATCATGACAATATTGCTGATCACAACAGCTACATGGTAAGACATAACACCATCCTTCCCCTCGTTAACAATGCAACATGACAACCTTTATGGGTTGTTTGTCATTTTCAACAAAAATAGTTTGAGGACATAACTTGGAGTTAACTGTTATCCTTTAGAATAAGTTTTTCACAGCAGAACATGATGGCAAACCTATTTTAAGCTCCACCCTGGAGGTTCTAAAACACAAAGAGCTCCACAGTGAATAACTGATGGTTTAGCTAAACAGAAACCTATGCTGTTCCGCAGCATGCTGTGCCCAACATAGAGGCCGTTACATATCTTTCATTTATAACACTGCTGTCTTCAGTGAGGTGTCATCTCACAGGAACATAATTATCATCATCATCATCGTCAAAGCCTTTTCCCAACTAATTGGGGTCGGCTAGGAACATAATTATCAATTCATTTTTAAAGTGCTTCAGGAAAGAATTGAGAGAGAGTAAAGCAATGGGTGTTGAAGTGTCCACAGATTGGCCGGAAAATGTTTCAGATTTTTCAGCAATCACTGACTTCATACATATACTGACTGTATAGCCCATGGGCGAAATGAGATAACTACCCGCATTACATGGTTACAGGCAAAAAAGAAAAGAAAAGAAAAAAAAAAAGAAAAAAACACAAGCCATATTTTGATGAATAATATGCATTTACCACTTGCCTCCAAGCAGGAAGGAAGGCTTGATGGGCTTGTTAAGGTAAATTATGCTTCTAAGTATATTTGCATACTACAAACCTGATCTTCTGCGGTGACAGACTCCAGCTCTTTTTCTCGACTAAACTTTTGACTTACTTTATGCTATGCTCTCACATCTTGACACCAAACGCCCATAAACATTAAAGAAGACTACAGTTCATAAATCATAAGTAAAAATAAATAATGACCTCATGCACAGGAAAGGGAAAGGCTTCAGAATCTGGTCAGTATTTTCCATTAAAGATGCCAAACTTAATAAGAAAACACACATCTGCACTAATTGTGAACAGCTAGCTTATGTAATCCTAATGCCATGAGTTGCTGGAAATTACATGTTCCAGTAAACAACTTCTCAGTAACATAGTGAAATGAAAATCTCATTCAAACGTGAAGAAAACGTAAACAAACTTTAGTGCATTATGTAATGTACACATAAATACATCAGAGAGCTAAGCTACTCAATTGAGCACCAATTATATTTGCAGTTTAAGAAGACAAAGATGATAGTTCACATTTCACAACATCTGAACAAGATATAGCAAGTATCTCACCAGCAAGTTCTGGGGTTTGATATCTCGATGGCATATACCAACACAATTGTGTATGTAAGCCAAGGCTCTGCAAATCTGCATGAGTAAAAGGATAAATCAGGGACAGATCCTTCACAACTAATACTATTCCAAACTTTTAATGACGAATGTCTGACAACCCATGCTCAGATGCAGATGAAAATAAATAGGTTATTTATTAGGATTTTATCCAAATTTCACGAACAATCTGGTGTAAGAGTTGGTTGTGTTGGACATAGAGGAATCACCTAGTCAAACTTCTAGAGTAGCCAATTACTTTTATACAGAAAACCTCCACAGAAGTATTTGATAGCCATGATGGTACATACATGTTCATGCTCTACTAAAATCTCATAAGCCCCCTCAAAATAGACTATGCATAACTCCTGTATCGCTGAAACCTAGATTAGAAAATCAAGCTATCTTCTAGCACAATTGAAAGCGTATAAACATTCTTAATGCAGAATTTGCCTTGAAATTTTAGACAAGTAGAAAGTATCGTTCCTGCCCATATAAATAAATTCCCATGATGTTGACACGTCAAAACTCCTCTCATACAATAGAGGCAATTTAAAATCAAAAAAACAATCGTGGCCAACTTAGGTAGAACCAAAACTATGTTTGGTTTTTTATTTTTGGTGGTTTTGTTTCTTTTCCATATTAATATGATTTCAGTAGTCTTCTTCAGAGTGGACTAAGCTAAATAATGACCCTCACTGTTGGAGGTCACCGGTGTTAAATAGCAAGCAGCAGATGGACCAACCTTTTGGGGGTGGTAGCAGTGTTTTTTTTGTGTGGGGGGGGGAAGAAATAGAGAGAGTTTTTGTGTGGGGGGGAATAAATAGAGAGAGAGAGAGAGCAAAATTTTTACAGCCAGGCCAAGGACGATGGTGATGACTAGAGCATATTGAGAATTTCATTTTGTTGGCTGTAAAGAGGGGCTTACTAGGAAAGACAGAGGACCTCATCAGAAAATGAAGGACTATAGTGTTATGAAGCACCCCAATGGATGATCTAGGAAGTGTGGAGGTGGCCTTGGAAGAAGTACTCAAGCTTCTTGAGTTATCAGCTTCTTCAGCAACCCCAATAGTCCAGAATCAAGAGTCTGGGGCAAATTCAGACCAGTGATTAGGCATTTGCAGGCTAGATTGGAGCATTAGGCACTAAGGAGACTGAAGTAGAAGCTCTTCTCAATAGAATCATATCACCTATTTTGTTACCTCATGTTCCTTTGATGGCAGAAGCAGACTGCCTTGGTGTTTCTCAATCAGCGTAAGTCATCCAATTAGTCCCTAGAAGGATAAGAATGCCAAAGATGAGATCTTGGAGATCAGTTGCTTTTTGGACATTAGATAGGTGTGAGAGAGGCAGCACAACCCTAGACCAAATCATATTATTCGATGAACTCGAGCTTCATACTACTTGGTCAATTTGAGTAGATTTGAGAAACTCTCAAGTTAAGACGCAGAGTTCTCATATTACAGTATATTTAGGGATATCAATTTAGAAGTTAAAAAGATAGTGGACTTCATCAAATTAGGTTTTCCATGAGAAAAGGTTGGAAGCAAAGCATTGATTCAAAAAGCAGTCCACCTGTGCCTACGCGGAATAGGGGGCTTGGGCATAGGCGGGCACCCAAGGGATTGCACCCGACTAGGTGAAAAACTACCCATCGGGTGGGGTATTTTTGGTTTTCTTTTTTTGTTTGGATTATAAAAAATGCATATTTGTGCATTTTTTACGCCAAATCTGTACCTAAAACAGGGTTCCTGGACACCATTTGCCCCCTTTTGAACCTAGGACACCCAGGTGCTAGACAGCTGCCTAGGAGCCCGCCTAGGCACTGGGCAGCCTAGACCCCCCAGGCATCTGGGTGCCACCCGGCATTTTTTGGAACACTGAAGCAAAGCCTAATGTCAAATTGCCGAAGCAAAATTTTTATCTTCGTTTTCAACAATTAGGTTGGAACGTCAACTAATGTAAGTTCTAGAGGTAATCCACCAAGTATCTGTGAGGTCTTAACTAAATACAAGTATGAGAGCAAATCCAAATAAGAATTTGTGAGGCCTTAACAGATAAGATAACACTATGACGTGCCCCTAGGATCATCATCTGTACACAACAAAAGCCAGGCTCTATTACTTGGTGTCAGATTGAAGCAAAGATCTCTAAGAAATTCATGATTATTTAAAGGAATATATAAATGTCAGTTTTTTTGTTTTGTGTGAGAATGAACGTCAAAGTTCCTTATTATTCAATACAATGTATTACAGATTGTAAGTTGGCACAACTTAAAAATAAAATAGAAATAAAAAAAGAAGAAAAAACCGGTTTCATTTTATATCATCACTTAACCATTCTAACTCATACAACTAACGAGGGAAAAGTTCAGTAGAGAAGAAAGTAACTTTTAAGTAATTAGGCATATTTTGTTCCTTTTTTCTTTTATTAAACAGAATTATCAATTAACCAAAAATGCTAGCTTCAAATACCAAATTTGCTATACTAAAAAAGCCCTAAGAAATGGCTCATATCTCTCTATATTGAATGCTTCCAAAAAGAGACCAGAAATGAAATCCAGAACTTCAAAACTAATGCTTAGTATTCTCCCACAATAATTCCTATTATTCAGTAAATAATATATTTAACACCAAATAATAGCAGTATCAATTACTAAATTATAGTAGCATAGATGCACTCTAAATTGGTAATATTACCCCAAAAAAGAACTCCAGATCTCTCAAACTCAACCTTAAGAACCTGTTTGGCACTGGTTACCAGCCAAGTATGGACATGCTAGAAGGAAATATCCAAAGAACTGACTAAGTGATCTCCTCAATACATCTGGAATTCTCCATGGATTGTTCAACACAATCAATCAAGCCTAATCAGACTAAGAAAGTCCACTTCTACAACAATGGATCAAAAGAAGAAGCTGTGAAAACACGATAAGAGGCAGGAGCACCTTGGCTTTTGCCTCTATTGAACCCACTGTACCAACTAGCACGCATAAGCCTTCCTTGGACCAGTATAAGCATTCCTCAAACACAACAAATTCTTAATGCCTGCTTCCTGTGGGCTTGATACAAGTCATTTCTCTCATTAGCCAACACACAGATGCAAAAACAATCATTTATAATAATTAATTTCCACTATAAAAAAATTTCCATGACGCTTGACGAATGTATACCTTGTGCCCAAATCTAGTATCTCTACATTACTATTATCCCTAAAAACACTTCAATATACGCACAAATTTCAATAACCTTATCTCTATCAAACATAGGCCTTGGAATTACAGAAATATGTGTACACATTTTTTTGGTTATTAAGTATTAGTCACAAAGCAAGCAATCGACCTAAAGAATGGTTGATGAGTCAAGTCAAGCAACAGCAAGAATCCACACTGTATAACTATTTGACTAAAAAAAGTTAAGGCCAAAGTTTGGACATACATCCTTCCACTTTATCCTATGCATTACTAGATATTTGGCATAGCAGCAATCACATAAATCCAAGGCATGCATTTCAGCATTACCCACATGTACTTTGAGTCGTAATTCATTCAGCAGAACTAATAAGCTTGCAGAGAGGAATTTAATGCTTCAAAGCCAAGAAAATGGAGTGCCTAATTGAGACAAACCTGATATGTGTAAAGCTTCACATAAATGAGGGGAATCCTCTGGTTCATTCGATTGTAGTGCCTTGCAATCCTATTGACAGTCTCTGGGACAAACTCAAGGACAAGATTTAGGTAGAGCTCTTCTTTATCAGTTGTTGAGAAAAAGCAATGCTTAAGTGCCACAATATTGGGATGATCCAACATATGCATGATCTGTAACTCCCTGTTCTTGTATCGCTTATCTTGGAGAACCTTCTTGATTGCAACGATTTCTCCAGTTTCCCTACATTTGGCCTGGACTGATAACATGTTACTAACTACAAGAAAAAGTAGGCACCGAAACAAACACTAAACAATAGATCCAGGAATCAATAAATGGAAAAATATTATTACCCCAAGGATTATTGAAAATCATAACTCCGATGTGATCACCACCTATCAAGTGAAATGGTGGACAGTGATGGAGAGAGTCAAACGCACCAGAACAGGATATGATCAAAATGGTAAGTCCAACTCTCTCTCCATCCATGTCCATGATTACATGGGATGGTGATGACCCCAATGGACTATGTTCTTCCACAGTCCATTATTCTAATATGCTTCCTAAGAGTAAAATACCTGAAAAACAACACCAAAAGAACCTGTTCCAACCACATGCTCTGCTATGTAGCTGATAGTCTGCTCATGAAGTCGCGAAGAACCAAGAAGCAAATTAAAACTTCATCACAAATTCTATATTACTCCATTAGAAAACTTAAAAGCCTAAAGAATTTGACAACGTAGGATACATCACCTGCTTAGGTTGGCCATTTCTACCCCCAACAGTAGTAGCTATAACATGCCCTGCTTCCGCACCCATGCCATCAATAATATCTGGTTCAACATCCTTCAAAAGAACAAAAAAAGCAAACGGATCAGGAACTATTTTTTGGCTAAGTCACAAAAAATTTAATTGGAAAATCTTTTTCATTTCTCAATGAATCAACTTTTATAAATTTTGCAAAAAAATTCTTCATTTTCTAATCACAAAGTACTTATCACAGAAATTACAAAGCCCATTACCCCATGCCCCCAATTTTTCATATTGTGATTGGGAACTACAACGAAAGAAGCCTAGAAGAGAAATGCAGCTTGCCTTATCTTCATCCTGGTCCGGCTTATTGTCTCTAATTCTCATCTCAAGCATCTCTCTCCCAAGCCAGTCAACCGTACTAGAAGTGCCCTTGAAACTGTTGATTGATCGAGAGCTTCCCACCCCACCCAAACTTGCAGACGCCATATGAAAGTAAGTACTATGAAGCACCACTGTTAAAAATTACTCTGTTGAAGTCCACTTTTGATACGCCTTACATTTGATACCAATCCTTGCCTCCTAATGATAAAAAATTCCAGTACAAATCAAACAAGAATCGTGATATTCATAATGTAATAAATAAATAAGAAAACAGTTAAACTAAAGGTCCACAATGTGACAGAAAAAATTAATGTGAAATACAATCTTGGATCAAGTCATGAAATTTTGAAAGAAAGCCCAAAATACTTCAAAGAAAAAAAATTTCTAGAAAACAAAGAAGTTTGAGCCAGTATGAATGCTTTTATAAAACAATATGAGAACCCACCTTCCAAATGGAACAGCAAACCGCATATTAATAAATTATAAATAATAAGAGGATTAGCCCATGAGTTCAGCATTATCAGGAGACAATGAATCATTGGAATCAGTGCCTAACCATTAACCAGCTTTCTTATCAATAATTCAAATCTATGGAGTTTCATAATTTTCAGTTACAGTTAGTCTTGCCAAAAGAAGATAATAGTTTTCAGTTGAATCTCATGACGCGTTCATTCTGAATAAGTTTTCAAGCAACCTTTGTGATACAACTGCCTCTTAGCATGTCTACACTGCATACTTCAACCAGGACACTGTATACTTCAACCAACAAAGCAATTGATAGATTTTCTTAATCATGCATAGTGGGGAGAATGTTATCTATTTGACTTATATTCTGCAAATGACACCAAATGATCAATATAATGCTTACATTTTTTGCACAACACTGTCAGATGCTATTGCAGTCAAATGCTCCTATTATCTTTTTAAATAGATTCCCTCCTCATCTAAATCACTGCGTTCTTTATTCACTTCTACAGTTACTACATCACAAAAAGAAAGAGCAGAGGCCTTTATCAGTTGAGCTAAAGCAAGAACAGTGACACATAACCATAGAAGCAAGTTGCATTTAGGTTCCATGCAATGGATGGTGCTGGCCCAGATGTACTATCCTCTTAGCAGCCATTCAGATCAAAGAAGCAGACTTGCTCACAAGAACATCCATATGGTAAACGATGCACTCTATCAGATACAATGATTCAAGGATTTTTCTTCTTCTTAGATTGTAGACTTTCAGCATTTGACAGAAGATAAACAAGGATTTCCACAAATAAATATATTACACAAGAAGTTTTATGATCAAGAACCGAAAAAATGTTTCTCTTTATTTTATTTTTTATTTTTTTGCAGTGAAATAAACTGAATATTGATTTTATTCTTCACGAATGTTAGTACTTAACCAAATGTCCAATTGAATCATGATATCATATAAGAAATAAGTGACTTTTTGCAAATAAAGCTGACAAATAGACACAAAATCAGGATCGATGGTGTGAAAAATAGCAAAGAAAAACAAAAAACAGATTTAGTAAGGACTTATCTCAAAAAGTAGGGAGAGAGGTGCAATCTTTTTAAATTCTAAGCAAATTCCATGTATTCTATATATTCAACTAAGTTCAATCATTTAAAATCCTACTAAAGATTAGACATTTTTTCCACTTCCACATTTTTGCAGGTGATATCAAAGGATGAGATTCCATTTAACCAAATAATTCATAAAACCACGGACTCGTATCAGAAACTAGGATTTCTCCTCTGAATCCTACAGGAAACATTATTTCTCTCTCCACAAAACAAATCAGTGAAATCAACGCCAAAGTCGCAGAAAGAAAGTAAAAATTATCTGTTGATACCCGATGTGAAGATTCTTTTTATGTGAAGAACCAGAGATTTCTCGTGATTGTCTTCAGTTTTTGCACTGAATGGATGAAAAAGCTAGGATCCGAGTGAAAAACCTAGAAGAAGGAATGGCGCTCAACGATCTTCAGAGCCTGCACATATTTTCACATGGAAATGGCGTCAAATTTGGGCATTTTCTCAGTAGAGAGAGAGAATGCAGGACAAAGGAGCCTTTAAGAGAGTCGATGATCTTGCCTCAGTGGCCCTTTAAGCTCCATGCTCCACTGGTTTTCGCTTTTTAACTTCAGTCTCTCTCCTCTTCTGCTTTGCTCTCTCCCCTCTTCGCCTTTGTTCTCTCTTACCTCACTCACCTCCCATGGTCCCATCTCTCACTCTATCATCACACTCCCTCGTGGTCTCTCATCTCTTTCTCTCTCATCATCTCTCTCTCTCATGCCTCTTTCTCTCTCATGACTTTCTCCCTCATGATCTGATCCCTCGGTCGCTCCTTTCTCGCTCATAATTCTCACTCTTACAAAGTTCCTCATCTTTCAATAAAATACATAAACATCCCAAAACTTTTCATGAATGACTAGAGAGCCCATACATATCAATACAAGTATATAATGACAAACATAACCATTTACAAACGGAAATTATCCCCCCCATACACCGGAGAAATAAGAATTTACAGATAGGCGAGCTTTCTATTCTTGTCCTACAGCATAAAGCTTACGTCCTTCTCCTTATTTAATAGTTCATTTTAAATCGAGGGCTAAGAATACCAATCACACTGTCACATCTTTACACTATTTTATTTTTTATTTTTTTTTTTATAAATTATTTTGATATCAAATTTTGAAAATCCATTCATCTATTAAACTCGCACTAGCAAAAAATATAAAAAAATATTTTTAATAAAATAAAATAACCAAAATACCTTTGAAACCTTCAAAAGATATTTTGGTCATTATATTTTATCAAAAAAATACTTTTAATATTTTTTATAGGGTGTGTCCCAATGAGAAGATGACATGTACGAAATTTCATATTCATACAATTTGTCTAAAAAAAACAAAAAATAAAATACTTTGAGACATCGGATCTAAGATCAGACGATGAGTGGCTCTCTTGATCAAAATTGGACGGTTAGATGGTAGAGAAAAGATAGAACTTCTATGTTTTAAGGGAAGTATAAAAACCTTTTTTTTTACGAATTATCACCTCATTATTTTCTTTTCCATTTTTCTATTCCTAAATCTATTGAAAAATCATATAATGAGACCAGATACCTTTGATACAAGGTAGTCACATTAATTATGATTGTTAGATGTACAATTGGGAGATTGCAATTATTCCATTGACCAAAGCTCAAATTTTAAAAGAAATTTTTTCGAACTTTGTAACACATCTAAACTATCAAATTTCACGTCAAATGATGGTAAGGAATTGTGATCACCTTATATCAAAGGTAAATAGTCTCATTATATGCAATCCCAAATCTATTTTTCACTACAAAATCCTTATACAGCCTAATATTCAGTTCTTTTTTGTACTTAACAAATTTTTAAATTCAAGTACTGATAGAATAGGCGTTAATTAGTGTTTATGTAAAGAGATTTAGTTTTGAGAAATTAACTTCAGAATTAAAAGATAATCCCCAGTTTTTTCACTTTTACCCATGAGAGGTCATTTGTTTGACGAAATTTTATTTTTTTCAAAATAGCCCCAGTTCAACACTTTTCGTACCGGGTACCTCTATTTTATTGCCAATCCCGCATGTTTACCAGCGTTTTTACCCCAATATAGACTGCATTTTTTATCATTCGAGTTACTCCAATACTTCAAGTATTGCTTCGGCTTCTAA